CCATCACTATCTGGGTGCCTCTCAGCCGCTTTTAATAGACGACACAGATCAGTTGATTGAGTCAGCTGGGTGGCCTCTTTGATGATCTTCTGCTTGAATGTTGTGTCCCTCTTGTTTCAGCACCAAACAGCAGGTTGAAGTCTTGATTTACCTTTTAATCACATAAAAGATTATAACATATTGAACCAGGGTTAAAACTCTGATTTAACCATCGCTAGAACAAGGTCTTTAAAACGGCACACAAAGGACACAGTGACACTAAGGCTGAAGGATGAAACATCACAGAGTCCCCTCCTTAATTTTTGAAACAGCAAAAACTTTTTCTTGTTGTTATTGTCTACAGACAATAATTGGGTTTAAGATAGGAATGCACAATACAACTTTTTTTGAAAACCGATATGAGTACGAGTACATTGTGTGTACTGTACTTGCCAATACTGATACCTTTACCCACCAATACCTTTACCCATAACGTATAATGAAAATGCACAGCCTTTTTTTTCCACCAGTGATAATTTTTTTACTGTCCATTTCCCTGTAGATTTAAACTTAAGTTAGTAAATGTATGAGGCAGTGCTTCCCTCCCCCCCATGTTGCCTACAAGTCAATGGAACTTGATGAGATGTTGCATTGTTTCATGTAGTATCTGTGTCTGGTATCGGCAAGTGTTTTCAATCTCAGCTTTTATTTACTGGTATCAACACTTGTAAGGTGTTATTGTTTTTGTTACATAGAAGGTGTTCGGGTAATTTTGACCCAGGCAGAAAGATAAGGAGATGGTGAAGAAAGTGAGTAATAAACTCAATCCAAGTTCTCGGATTGAGCCACCAGTGCGCTTATCGCGCAAGGTTGAAACATTGATGCACAACTGAAGGACCGAACAATATTCACACTCCTTTTTTCACCTAATTCACCCTCTGCCTTGTCTACTCAACATTTGATCACTATAGTACAGAAATCCTAGATTGTGACACCCAAAGGCATTTATGAGACAAAGTCTGCAAATTTGTCAATTTGTGTGTGCTGAATTGAAATCGGCAATATGTTGAGTTCTATCTGGCCTATGTTGACCTCTAGAAGTCATTGAACTTTGACGCTGAAAGTGCACCATCTGAACCCAGTTAATCGTGTTTTTAAGCAATTAATTAATTAATTTTCAGCAAAGTGATGATTTAAATTGAAAAATGGATTTCTTTGGTCAGTATTGGAATGCTAAACTCACATTTACTTTCAAAATTGTTATTATTAGTTAGTGATTAATGGTTAGTAAATATTACTTCATTATTACTTCAAGGTCATTAAACATGGCCTGTTGTTTAATGCACTTAGCTTCATTTTTGTAAACTATTTTATGATATTGTTTTAAATAAAATATGAATTATGTTTGCTCCTGACTGTATCAACTATCATTTAAGATGTAGGGTGTTCTCAGTTTGACCTTAGGTCATTGATGTCATCTATATTTACATGCATGGAAACCAAAAAGAGTGTATGTTAGCATCCAAAGTATTTAACACATCTAGATTTAATTACCAGGAAATAAAAGCTGACACTCTGAACTTTTAATTCATATTAATTTTTTCGTCTCAAACCTAAATGTCTTTGGTGGACAACAAAAACAAGATAATTTGTCTTGCTGTTCTAAGATTCGTGAATTATAAGGAAATTAATGTTCTACTCAGGAGCCCTTTTACATCCAGGAAACGTGGGAATGTTTTGAAGACATCCGCGCTTCTTTCTGGGTCATCCACCAAGTCCTGCCGATATTGAAACGTTCTCCTCATTTTCTTCAGCACCCTTGCTTCTTCAGGGGTGTGAATAAGAAACAAAATGGCTTCCTTGCAGTCGTCACCAGCAAGCTGCTCAGGCAGTGTCCCACTTGTCTTCTCCACTTTGGCCCTTGGTCTTTAGGTAATGACGGCTCATTTGCTGTAGTCCTGCCCATTGTCTTCAGACGCCACACCAAATATCCACTGCCTTTCTCTGCATCATAAAAATGCTCCAGCAACAAATGAAAGAACATCAAAATAGTCTTACGTCTACAGCCAAAGGAAACAAAGGTAAAATCACCTATATAAAGTCAGGCCATTATCTCAATGATTCTTCTGTACTTTCAAATAAAGGTTCATAGCATACTCCAGTTTCATTAAAGTGTGCTGCTTCAGTTGCTATGAATAAAATAATATAATGCAATAATAACCATCCTATCGGTTGAATTAGCAACCTTTCAATTAAATTTTTTCTACTGACACCTAAAAATCAATGCAAAATGTACATATCCTTTTAGTGAGAAGGGATCCTTAAGTACAGGAAAAAGTAAAATTATTCCCAGCGCATATTTCTCCCTCTGTTGACGGGTGGGAATCCGGCTATAGAGACAAGACAAGAAATTCACTTAGTACTGACAGGTAGGATAAAATTTTTGCACAAATCTAAACTCATCTCAAAGTTCAATTGCTAGTTCTTACCCAAGTCTCTCAGTATTATCACTTGCCAGTATGTTGACAAGTTGCGTCCTGGTGCGGTGCTTCAGCGTGTTTTCTGATTTATACTCTTCAAGAATGTCCTCTCCTCCAGATTTCCGAAGCAAGGCGGGTTTTTGTCCATCTGCTTACACACAAAAAACACAAAATAGTAATTATCATCATTATTTAACAAGTGTCATGCACCACATGTTATATTTGAGTGGTTTTCTTGCTGCTTTTGAGGAGTTTTAGTATGAAACTTTGCCTGTGTCTGTGCCACAGAAATGTGGTATATTTACAGACAACACATGACTGTTCTCTTAAAATGTTACCTTTTTTGCAGTCTCTGACAGGGGAGCTTTCACCACAGATGGGCTACCTTCTTTGTTCACTCTACTACAACCTGTAGTAAAGCTCTTTTCTCTTATGTCGCTGTCACTTGATGATGAGGACAAGGTGTGTTGTGAGAGAAGATGCGGTATCTGAAGTAGAAGGTGTTGAGTGGTCTAAAGAAAAGAAAGCTGTACAACACATCATTTAATTAATATCTGACTGTGGTAATATCCATTTTGACATGGGCTGTTTTTGTAACAAGTAATGTTGTACAAGACAAGTAACTATTAGTGTTTTTAATGTTCCTGGAAAGTTCGAATTTGGCAATGGGCAGTACAGTTGCAAATCTGAATCTGGCAATTCAACATACCATACCTATAAACATTTTCAATAGTGTGCATTGATCACCATGCAATGCAGCACTGTATATTTAGCTTAAATTCACACTGTCAATCTATTGCCAGGTGTACTAAAGAGCAAAAGCATTATGTACATACAGGGCTCTTAATTTACGTTTTTCATCACCAACAAAAATGGCTAGTAGATGTTAATACTTTTTCCCACTGATCACACCAAATATAGCTGCCATTGTAACAGACAAAGAAAGGATAGTGTAGCTCCGCCCAACGCGCATCAGACTCACTTTTTCAAAGCTGCTTCAGCCGCACTTCAGAGCTAGTCCTTGACGTGGCCGACCCGGGTTCGAATCCGACCTGTGGTCCTTTGCCTCATGTCTCTCCCCCTCTTCATCCTCCCTTTTCTGTCAGCCTACTGTCAAAAAAGAAAATGCCACTAGTACCGCAAAAACTAAAAAAAAAGAAAAAAAAAAGAAAAGGAAACTTAGGTTTAGGTTACTGTATATTACATGAAGGCCCTATGTATTTATGCTGCAAATTCTTGGTTCTGTCTAGTTGTTAGACTACTGTTGATAGTTTAGTCCAAACACAAAGTTAGTAGATGGCCAGTTTAAACAGCTTAAACCTCACACCTGGTTGATTTACCTAAAACTTTAATATATTTATATGATCCTTACCTTTTTAAGGCATCTATTTCACTGGTGGAAAACATATCGAGCAGCAACATGTCCTTCATCCAAATGGAAGAATGAAAGAACCTGTTGTGGAATGTCACTCTCAGTCAGTGCTGGACAGTTAACTCTTTGAAACAACACAGTGCACAGGGCTTTTTAAGCACTTCTAGTGTAAACAGAACACCACAATCAACAACCAGTGACTCCCGTTAACAGCAGAATAATTAACACCAATAAAAACAACTTTGCACTTTTTTTTCACTGAATTGCTGAAACTATTATTAAAAATATTGAAATGCATTAATAACTAAGTCAAACCAATAAGAAGAGATTGAATTATGTTTAGTGAGGAAATAATACATAAATAGCCGCACACTTTAAAGCCAAGTCGCATTGCTTGTTTTATTTTTGTTTTTCCATTAATATGAACTATTAAGTTCGTTGAAAGCAGAGGCGTAGCCAGAAATTATTTATAAGGGTGGCCAGGCAATAACCAATCTACATTGAGGGGTGGCTGAAAGTGAATACTCACCAGAACCTGAAGGTCAGTCTACACTGATCCAATAGGAAAATTAATGAGCAAAACATCCATATTTTCTAAATAAAGACAAACTATACTTTCCTACAGCTTTTGCTAAGAAATAGACGCATATATTTTAAAATATCCATAATTTCTAGATAAAAGGCATTGTGGATAAAACTCAGTTTTGAGGTCTGGGGCGTAAATCTTTTCCATTGTCATTACTTACCTAAATAAACATTCTGCATAAAATTTATATTTACAAGCACTAATATCTACATAAATTGATTATTTGATTATTTGATAAGTTTTTATTAAAATTTGTATTTATCTTTGATTTCACTGAAGACTCCTAGATGACTTGCAGAGACACATATTTTTCTCTTTAGCCCATATAACACAAAATGTAGTTCTAAAAAGAGCATGAATTCTTTAACTATCATCTTTGATGTTAGTATATTGATGTGTATATTTAACCAAAAAAAAATAATAATAATATTTTGAATATTCCACTTGAGAATATTACTGTTGCCACCATCTGTATAAAAGATGATAATCAATGATTGGCTAAGGGTGACCATGGCCAACCCTGGCCCTCCATCTAGCTCCGCCCCTGGATGAAAGCATTTTATTTCCATACCTTTTATCTAGTTTCAAATTTACACCGGAACAATTTTTAATAAAAGAAATAGAAAAGTATTAAAGTCAAGCTTCCTTAAATGTTTCAGCCTCATTGGTGGTAATTCTGTGTTTGGATCAGACCACCTCAGACCTTTTCAAGGGGTCGTGAGCTCATCGTCGCCGTGACAAAACACTCCACATAAACCCACGGCGCGATCACGCAGACCCTTTTTTTTCCTGAAGAGCAGCAGTCTCGTCCAGAATCGCGCACAGACGCGCTTTCTCCACAGTAGGACGGAGCTGCTGGGGTTTTTCATTACATGCGCAGTCCTGTCCTGAATCACTCATCACCACGGCAACCTGCTTTCACATCCACAGCCGGTCAGCATCCTCTCCCGGACCAGGAGCTCCTCGCTGACACACAGTAAGTTTCTCTCCCCTCCTCGCATGCGGCACTGCGGCTGCTTGTTTGCGTAACAGACGGGCTCCATCAGGCTGATTCTGGCTGCTTCTGCGAAACAAGTTGCAGAAATGGGACACGCATTACTGCGCTTTTAGACATGAAGCTAAATATAATCAATATATGCTTCAGGGAGGAGATTAAAAAAAAAAACTCACGTCTATGGAGATGTATTTCTGAGAAGGATCCAGTGTTGCTCTGCATCCTAAAGACAAAAAGCTGATTTATTTGAACTCGTGGACATTTACTGCAACTTAGTGTGATTATGCAGATCCTATTCAGAAAAACATATTGAGAGAAATAAATATGTTATATCAGGTCATTTTTCCTCTTCCCTGCTGCATGCCCTCTTGCAGCAGCCTTCAATGCACCAAGTTTAGATATGCATGAGCAGTGAACCTTGAAGAACTTGACAGAAGGTGCCAAGCACTCACCTATTCATAGCACAGAGTGTATCCCTCCTTTAGACAGCTCCTTTTTACATTAATGGAGGCCCTGTGTGAGACTGAGGTAAGGAACCAAATTAAAGAGGGGTTTTAATTCTTAAGGAAGCTGAGATGTTGCAAGTGCAAGTGTAAAGATGTGATTCACAGCTCTCGCAGAACTTGTTCGCAGCAGCAGAGTGTGGGAACATGGAGTATTTGACAGCAGCACAGTTCATTTGTTAATCACAGATACAGGATGATTCATCGTACCCACATTTCACTCCAACTGTGGGGAGGAAAAAGGGTGGTCAGCACCAGATGACCGCTTCACCCGCCCACCTCTCCACAACTATCTTCTTCTAACATAAACTATCTAGTAATTATTGCTTCTTTACATAGATACTTCCCTGTCAATTAAAAATATTCCAAAATGACAGCAAATGATTGAAATATATTTGCAGTGCACTGGAAAATGTTTTCTTTTTTCCCACATTTTCTTTTTATTATTATGTTGCTTTGAGATCTGATCTAATAGACCCAAAAAAAATTTTATGTGGGGAAGCGTGAATGTTATATACGGTTTTAAAAGTTTTCTTTTACTAAATAAGAAACCGTGTGATGTCCATTTTATATTCATTCTCATGGGCGGTTCTAAACAGGGACATACAGGGGCCCTTACCCCTGTAAAGCTGGCACTGCACTGCAAAGAATGGAAATCTAAATAAGTATTTTTTTCTTAAAATAAGTGCATTTTTTTCCTGAATTGAGAAGGTAAGTGAGTCAGTTTCTCAATGGAAGAATACAATTTACATGTAAAATAAGAACAAATAATTGCATTGTCGTATTTCAAGTGCATATTATCTAATTATCTTATCTTAAGAGTAAGGAAGTAATCATCTTATTTACCTACTCAAATTAAGGGTAAATACACTTAATTTAAGAAATGTTGACTTATTTCTAGATAATTTTTGCAGCGTGGCCCCTGTTATTTAGTTCAGTTAAGTTTCATTTTGGTCATCAGAACAAATTTTAAAATATGTCTCCATACAGTACACTGCAGGCCTTTTTTAGTAATGGACAATGAACAAAAGGGTTTAAGCAGAGCCTAACCTTTTCCATTACTAGGATCCAAATTACTAGGATATACTTGCTTATATCAAAAAAGAAAACAGCTCAAACATTTCTAAATGTTTTGAGATTACAGATGAAGAGAAGGAAAAAAAAATAAAGTGAAACTGTTTCATACGCATGTTTTCCCAGATGCCTTCAAATTTTTTCTGTTTTCATAATGTAGGTGGTTATTGTTGTCTTTCATCGTAGAAATTATAGATTATTATGGAATCATCATGCAAAATATAGAAGTATAGCATTTATTTATTCATAAAATGTTTCTTTTCTTGGACAGGATTCTAGAAAAATAGAATGCCATAACTGAAATATAAGTAAGTTAGTTTATTAGGGGAGGATACACTTATTCTAAGATGTTTTTTGGTTATTTAATGTATTTCTTATTATAATGTGCATTGTCAGAATACACTCGACCTCATTTGCCTCTTGGTCCAACTTAATATTTCGCCTTTATAATTTCCCATAACAATTACTTAGAAATTGAGGCTAGCTTTAAGCTTCAGCTTACTTAGCTTTAGCTTCCTTAGTATATTGAATTATGTACTGTTGCCAGTTTCTTTTTTTTTTTTTTTTTTTTATCTTTTGCCTGTTTTTATCCATTTGGACCCCAGCCTTATAGATTTTCCTCTAGATCCAAAACTGTTCATCTCGCTGTACTCTGACACTCCTAAATAAAATCCACTGCAACAATCTGCTCACTTCTAAATTCCACCTGTGTGTTATTTAAACATGGTATAAATAGAGGTGTTATGTGACAGTCAAAGAGGTTTATTAGAGAACATCAGTGAACATGAGGCACCCTGCAACCCAAGGAAAATGGCTGAAAACGAAGCGGGAAGTTGTAGAGAAGGTTGAAACTGGGTTTGAACATCCATCATCCAAATATTAAAGGAACAACTTAATTTAAAAAGGAAATATTTCTCTAGAAAATCAGGAAAAAACAATGTCACACATTGTAACCATACCACTATATATATATATATAAGAAAAGAATTAGATAAATAAATAGGTGTTATGTGGAGGTAAACCAATGAGGGGATGAGACCCCCTAATGATGAGATAAAAAGAAGCCAATTATAAAAACAAATGTTCCTCATACCCCTAACTGAGCATCTAGTTTCCTCTGTCCTAAGAAAGGACATCTTACCCCAAGCCTCTAGAGAAGCAGCATGTGTTGCCGTGCCAACGGAGAGAAATAGGGTATAATACACAGATGACTCAAACTGCGAGAACGGAGACATTACTATCGGCTTAATCTCATGGGCTGGGAAATTACAGAGAAGCAGCCTAAAGGATCATGACAACTTTGGAGGAAATTCAAAGCTTATAATCTGTTGACAGCACACTGATGCACTCCTAACAATTGGTCTAATTTAAGTCTAGCAAAAATAAAGCCTCAGTCTGTCATGATGGTGAATCATAGCGGTTGCAGCATCATGCTGTGGGAATGGGATTTTATTTTCCAGCAGTGACAGAACAGTTGGTCAAAGTTGCTTGGAAAATACGGGAAACTACTGTAGATATAAGGCAAGAAGACAGGGCCAGAGGTAAACCTTTCAGCAGCAAATTACCCTAAAACAGCCAGAAATACAACTGAGAATATCTATATGTGAGAAGGATCCAATTTGAGAGTGTTGACCTAGTGGGTTAGAGCCGTGAACTTGTGCTCTGAGAAGGCTGCAAGTACCCAGTTCAATCCCCACTGCCTCCACTCTGGGTTCCTGAGCAAAACCCTTAACCCCTGATTGCTTCTTGGGCACCACGCAATGGCAGCCCACTGCTCCTCAAGGGGATGGGTTAAATGCAGAGGTACATTTCTCTGGTGTGAGATAAAACATGAGGACTGACAGACCTCTTAAATGCGTCCTGAGCTTCTGCTGTGCAAAGAAAAAATGAAGGGATTCAATTCCTCAGTCTGTGCTTCAGCAAAAGTATTTTCTACAGACCTCTAAAGTTGACCTTAAACAACTGTATTTAAAGATAAAAGTAGACACTTCAATATTCAGATTACGACGGTTGAAAAATGACCTTTGGATATTAGATCAAGCTGATTCCACTGACTTTGCGCCTAAAATTGTCCAAATACAATCATCATTAGGTTGTTATGAATTCATCTTTTAAATCATTTAGTAATAGATCCCTACACAGTTGCCTGCATGCTACAAGGTAACCATCCTACGGACAGGAAACAAAATCAACCTTTTGGATAAAGAAATAAAAGGCATTTTTGCAAGAAGGAGAAATGAAGAGACACTCCCTACCAGTCCTGCTCATGTAACACCCAGAGTCACCAATAACCCAGCGTGGTCTGTTAAGAAGCAGATCAAGGGGCTTCTTCCACGAGATACAAGTCGGTTGTAAACCTCGTCATCAATTTAGCTTCAGCTGTCCTTAAGTTGGAGATGCTGCCAAAAACCTTCTTCTTTTTTAAATTAACACATTCTTTGACTTTTTTTTTTTACCTAAAGGGAATAGAGGTATTATTTACGGCATGTTACTCATTTTATCCAACTTCATGCTTTTTATTTTAAAAGTATTGATTCATTATGACCAAAAGAATGCATGCTACCATTCTTGAGATTGGTTTTCTTAAACCACTTTGAAAACCACAGTTTTTTTCCCCTTCCACCTCACAATATCGCACTGCTTTGTGTTGGTATTTCATATAAGATTTCAATTAAATGATGATGATTGTGGTTGCAGTATGATAAAAAGAAAAAAGGTTCACTGCGTACTGTCATCCCTTTGCAAGACACTCTGTGTCTCCCACATGGTGACAACAAGCACTTCCTTATTCAATCACCTGTTCATTGGTTTTGTGGCTGGAAGCTCCAGTAACAGATCCTGCGTCATTAAAAGCACATTTCCTGCCCTTCATGGATTTCTCCCTGCCAACATTGTGGCTCTTTTCCTCCTGGTTTGTGTATCATGGCTGTGAGTCATTGGCTTCAGCGGGCCAGTGGGGTCCTTGGCTGGGGGAAGGTGTTGTGTCGCTCTGTGTGATTGAGATAAGTGGCTCATCTCTCTCTCCACACTTAGATGATCATTTGATGAAAGTGAAAAAAACGTAGTCACTATCAAAGCGGGAGAGGAACTAAATAGGTTGGATTCAAGCATCTGCTCGGAAACATTAAGGAAAAGAGATTCTAGAAAGAGATAGGCTTGAAAAGTACAAACATGAATCACACACACTGGTTATGAAACGTGTTTACCCCGGATTGTTTGAATAAACACACAGAACAGGCTGTGCTGCTTTATAAGGCTTTAGGCTGTATGGTTTTGATAACCATAACCCCAATAGATTACTAAAGAAGCAGTGAAAGAATAGCTTAATTTCATAGAGCGCTATAATAATGTATTTAGTTTAAGATTAATGGCATTCCCCAGAATATCATGTTTAAATGTTTTAGGTCTTTTAACGTCAGATTCTTACATCAGGCTTTAGATTTTAGGAATCAGGCACTTTAAAAGCAGCCATGCTACATGAAGTCAGCTAAAGGTGAGCTAAGACTTAGTCAGTCACATTTTCTTCAGTGAGGGTAAATGTCATGATTTTCTTAAGAGATCTGACCCACATGCAGTAAACCACTCAGAGATTCAGGGTAACAGTTTGAACAGGTTTATTGATGAAACCAGCAGGGTTGGATTCAGGAAACACAGTAAACTGGTGAACCGGAACTGGAAGAGGGAAGGGACGTATCAGGGGTTAGTTCAGGATCCGTTGGAACTTTGAACGATGACTTGGTGAGACAGAGAAAACGGGACTCCCAGAATCCAGTCGTTGTGGGTTCTTCCAGAGGTTGAGACTCGTTGGAGGACGGACAGGTATAGACTTGGTTAGACCCAGAGGAGCTATTGAGTGGACTGTCACTTGGGAATCCAGGAGGACTTCAACCTAACTTGTGGAGGTTTATCTCCTGCTCAGTGTGAGACTCAAACAATCCTTCCAGGGGGAGAAGGCCAAACATCCAGCTTGCAGGAAGGCTTCCTGCAAAAAAGGCAAAGACAAAAAGTAGGTTAGGCTCAGCGAAAAACAAAGACTAAGTTAGACTCAGCAAACCTCAGCTTGGCTAGAGTACCCAAAACTGGCAAACACTCTGGCGCCAAGGTAGTGACAGTCCATGGCTAAAATAGTCCTCAGTGATGAGTCAACCAGCCGCAGGTGTGTGAGAGGACCAAAGAGGACAGGGCACCACCTGGAAGTGGAGGGAGAGAAACACACAAAAACACAACCCACACAAACTGGATTCCTAACAGTAAAATGATGTTTGCACTCAAAAAAAAGTAACAAAGTCTTGTTTTATTGTCTTATTTCAATTTAATTAAAACCTCAGGTTATTTTATTTATATAGCTCTAATTTATGAAATATGTCAATCAAAGACAATTTAGTCAGATCATACAGTTATTACTGTATAACTAATATACATATTTTGTTTTAGGAGCAAAACACTTATTCCATTGGGAGTTCATTTTACTTACCTGCTCAAATTAATCGAAAATTGACTTGTTTTAAGTTAAGTTTTTGATATCTTTATGACTTTTTCGCAGTGAGGTTACACCAAAAAGCAGATTCTCAGGTGGGTTAGCGCTGCCCTGCAGGAGGCTCAGACCCTCATGTCTTTTCCAGGGCTGCCCTGCATTATTCGTGGCTTCTATTTGTCCTCGGAACTCAAAATTTCCAACTTCTAAGTCAAACATTTCCATCTGAATAATTCTGAAAGTTGGAATTACGAGTTGATAAACAGGTGCAACTGGATATTTGCTGACTTAATGCATTAACAGCAATCAAACATTCTACTTTGTTTGCAGCAGGTCTTCATGGTGGATGTAGCATAAAGTCAAAGACCAGATTTGTGTATTGAAGCCCAGATGTTCCATTTTCCCTATATCAATATTTCAATTTATCAAAATCTAAACTTACTTGAATATTTCTTTTTCTAACCTTTTTACTTTCACTCAGTGTATTTGAACACAAATTTCTACTCCTTAATTTCTCCAAACTTCTATACATCTTGATAACAACATCATGCTGTAATAAAACAGGAAAAGTCCTAAAGGGAATGTGTCCCTTTTGGAGCCCAGTTAGTTTACAGGAAACACTGTTAGTGATATGAATAAAGGCAGGGGACTGGAAAAAAATTACAGATGATGGATTTGATTCTGAGACAAAAGACATTCCTCCTTTATTAGACGTTACATTTATATGTTGATTAAGATTCAACCTGTATTATAATTATAATACTCTTTGTAAACTTTATGCAGTGGTTACCAAAGCTCTAGAAAGTATTCAGATGCTCATGAAGAACATCTGTTCAGACTGTTCAGCCTCAGAATATAGTATACTTTTATGTAATTCACACATTCAGTCTGTACTTTTACTATGGGCCGGTTTTTAGTATCTGTACTTTTACTTAAGTGTACTTCTGACACTTTGAACATAAGTAATCTGAAAGCAGACATTCTTATCTGCTTCTATGACACATTTGATGTTGTGGACACTGCATTCACTCCTGCTTCATAACAGGTTTTTCGCATTAATTTATTATGCTGCACATACAAAATTCACAAAAAATATACCCACTATAATTACTTAAATTAGATTTATGATTTTATTTTAAAACTTCTAACAGTCACAAATAATTTCATATTTTCTTTTGCGGCCTGTTTTTAAGTGAATTATAAATAATTTGTGTAAACATTTTCATTGTGCCTGTAGTCTTTTTTTCACAGGTAAAAAGTAGGGACAATATACCCTCTGTCCCAGCTAGCCTCTGTGGATCTCAGCTGGGACAGATGGTTAATATCTAAGAACACAGAAGGAAACATGAAAAAGAAACACAGACTTGCTGCATGAACATATTATTCTTTAGTCGTCATTTACTACTGTTTGCAAGACATGTGCATTAAAACCCCAGACAGTAGAGCAGAAAAGTTGGTTTAGAGTTGAATTCTATTGGTGAAGCTGATACAGATACTTAAAAGTTCACTGATCGGGCTTTAAACTTAATATCTGGCATAATATGGGAATATACCTAAATAAGAAAATCCTTTTTTGTACCAAAATAGAGATCTAGCTCATATCTTCTTCACAGCCACACATGAAATATATGAATTTTCATCATTGATAGTAGCAAAACTATATGTGTTTTTTTCTTTTTAATTATTTTCCTGTGTGTTTTCTGTTTGTTCTGCCAGGACCACTGAGCGTTTTACATTTGGATAGAAACACACTGAGTCAAGTTGACCTGAGCTGTCTCTCACTGCTGCTTAAATCTGTTGGGGCCATTTAAGGCAGCTGAGCAGCCATGGTGAAGCTGGGCAGTAATCTATCCGATAAGCTGGAGAAGCAGCCATCTGCAGATGATGGCTTTGATAACGTCCCCCTCATCACACCCCTGGAGGTCAGCCAGCTTCAGCAGCCACTGGCAGACAAGGTATGAACAATCATCTCAGCTGCACTTCGTTTCTGTCCCTCTCCATCTATGTGCTCGCAAAAGTGTTGTTCTTTTAAGTTGGCTGTTTAATCTCGTTATACAACAGAAATAAATACACGCTAAAAAGATTACCACTCACTGCAGAGAGTCTGGGACAATTATTATGAAAACAGTCCCACAGGTGCACTTACCTATCTTTTATAAGCCTGCTGTATGCTTAGCTTATTGTGTTTACCTTTCTTTTCCCACCATCCCACGTTAAAACCTTGGCATCAGCCCACAAATATACACAGTGCTGTGAATATATAACGACAGCAGAAAGCCTCTGCTCATTTTGTAGCTGGAGGAAGCATTTAGCTCTGAATAATGCTCGACAGAATTGGAAGCTGTTAGAGAAATATCATGAAAATACCAAGCGGTCCCCAAATGTCCTCTTAAGAGCCTGCAATAAAACTGATTGCTTTTGCAAATGTGCATTGTTTATTTTAAGAGATAGAAATTGTTATTTGCATGACTGCTGGATATGTTACCATTAAACTAGTGCTGAGAACGAGAGGCAACCTAATCCTTTGACCTGAATGGACATTTGAAGCTTTTCCCAGACTGCTGTTTTTACTGCTTTTCTCTCCTCCAGGTCACCGTAAAGACAAAAACACAGTTTCAGCTGAAGCGGCAGCAGAGGAACAGGCTCTACGTTCCCAACATTAAAAAGCTCAATATAAATTTCTACAATGATGTCTCAGATAAAGTCAAGGTAAACATCATGTCATGACATAAAAACTGAATCTGAACATAACCAGAAACTTGTATAATATCCGCTGTGAGTATTTTGCTTGTGATTTTAAGGCCTCTTCAGAATTAACTCTTAAGATTCTCCAAAACAGGGGTTTTCAAATGTGGCCCAGGGGTCATTTACGGCCTTAGAGTGATTTTTTGTGGCTCTCAATCATAATCAAAAATGGCTTAAAATAGGTTTCCCAGCTCAAGTACACAGTAAAAAATACTAGGGTGCAGTTTTTTGTCTTTGAAAACAAAAACAAAGAAAGCACTGGGGCTGGTGGAGTTTTCTCCAGTGGGGGCTATAAATTCAAAATAGACGTTTAATAAAAACAATCCAGTGCATACTGTTATCACACCAATATATTTATATGAATGCCAACAACAAAAAACAGGAATTTTAAAAGCAATTTCTAAAAACAATGAATAATTTCATGCACAGTTTTACTTTTTGTACATAAATCTTGCTCTTCTAAGGCTTTGTGAAGGTAAATATGTGTTTTGCATGGTCCAATATTGTGTCACAAACCTAACATTTTTTTACCAGTTTAATAATGGAGACGCTGTTAGTCAGCTTTATACTTTTTAATATATATAAAAAATTTTATTTTTTGAGAATGTGTTTCTCTCTCTCTCTCTCTCTCCCTCCAACAACTCGACCTGTCAATCACCCACAAAACGTCTGCACTGTGGCGGGAGGTGATGAGCAAATACACTTCTTGTCACCTCAGGTCGCAGCTTAGCTGCATCCTGAGCTCTCCTATATTTCTGTATTGCAGAGCTACTGTGCATTTGCAGCTTTTAACGAGTCAGTGGGCAAAGACTTTTGCACCCTAGGGCGGGAATACATCACCAATCTGACGAAAAATGGAATGAAGTTTTACTAGTCATTAAAGATTTTATATTTATCTTGCATATTAAAAAAAATCTATATTATTATATTTCAAAATATTTTATATTTTAATATAAAAAGGGAGTATGCACTACGATCAGAGGGACTCAGATCCTGCAGTGCTCGGTGTGTGTCCCTGTTTAAGGAATTACCTATCCAGGTCCTGCTGAAGTTTGCCAGAGAGCAAATGGATAATCCAGAAGAGGATTGGAAAAAAAAAACTTGTTTTCAGATGAAACCAAAATAGATTTTTTTTTTCTAAATCCATAAATGTGTTTCTGACCTTGTACTTGCTCTGTCTGTACTTGTTTTGTGTTTTTTTCTTCTGTGATCCAGATCACAGGTCTGATCTTGATCACGCTGGCCTTTCTGACCAGCCTGCTCCTTCTGCTTATGTACAAAGCTATGTGGTACGACCAGCTTACTTGTCCAGAGGGTTTTGTCCTGAAGGTGAGCTCCACGACTGCATGAATACAATTACAAGCAATTACACTGTTAGACCCTTTATCCTTGGAAGCTCCTCTAAGGCTGAATTATATTCTTGTTTTGGGATGCTGCTCAGTTTTAAAAAAAACATGAAATTATCTAGATCTGTTTTAAATAAAATTTCTTTTTGTATACACTTGTGTATACAAAATGACAAAATAAATCTGTCTAAGTCTAAAGTTTTTGTGGACAGCACTGCAGCCATTTATAATTAATGCTAAACTATTCACCCCAAAATACATATCAGTAAATCAGCAAATCACATAAGCAGTGGAAAGGTAGAAATAGAGAACTGAGTCATACACACCAAAAACAGCTGGGGTCCCTATCGAAAACATTTGTTCTTTTTAACTTTTTTTTTCTTTATAAAGTTATTTTTCCACTTTCTGTGAAAAGTCTCCGTCTCATTTATTCATAATAAAGCAGTGCGTACATGGTCTTAGCTGAGTAACCAAAAATTCAGACGTGCATGACCATGGGCCTAAATGGACTGCAAAGCCTGTGTACCATTTGATCAGTTCAGTGTGTAAAGTTTAATTAATCTTTAATCACGCCTCCAGATATGTTTCATAGGGGGGCCAGATGGGGCCACTAAAAATCTTGGAGTGGCACACTGAAACTAAAAGTCATAATTTCAGGGTTTGAATCTACTATTGTTGTAAACGTGCCTGTTCAAAACATTAAGACTTAAGTAAACACCTACTCATATCTTGGTGTATTTTGTGATTTTTAATGTTACGTTACTGGCTGTGCATAATGGGCCAGGGTGGCCGTGGCCAATCAGGGGACAGAAAATGCTAACACTGGCTGGTCTTGGGGCAAAGCTTAAATCTGATTGGTTGAAGAAAACGTTCCTCAATATTATTGTTAAGGTACCATCAGCCAGCAGTGCTGATTCTGAACACCCTGGGCAGATTTAATTGCCATAGCAACGCACTAAGCCTGAAATCTGATTGGACATAAAATATAGCAACCACATACATATAATGGAAGCAGCTTAGCCAAGAGAAAAGCTACAAAATTAAGAAAATTGATTGTTTGGAATAAATTAATACAGTTGGATAGAAGAAAATTAAAGTTTAGGTTATGAATGTAGGTTAGTGTTTCTAATTGGTTTTAGGCCAGCAGTAAAGGCCTTAAAGGCCCTGGCAGCCCACCACTAATCTTTACTTTACATTTTCTTGCAGCAGCAGAGTCATGTGATAAATGTCACCCTCAGCTATATCAGTCATTAAAACTACATGTTCGTCATATTGGTTTTAGGTCAGACTTTTAACACCAGTCAGTTTTTTCAATGAATAATAGATTCATCAAATATGCCATTTAGCAAGATGAAACTCATCCCATTCATGTTCAACATTTAAAATTAAGTTTAGTCCTAAAACCTACTGGCTTAGCTCAGCATGATATTAATAGAAAGCAATGTGCTGTACTGAACTTTGCTCACAAACCAAATTTTTTAGTTTACAGTACTTTCTACACATAAAATTATTTCTTTACAAGTAGAATTAATGCTTCACAAACTCTCCTACTGGCTTAGTCTGTTTATTTTACACTTTGAACCACAGATGGTCAAACGGAGTTCAGACAAATGGAAAAGAAACAACTGCATGAGTTTATTTTATGTTCAGGTTAGTGTTTTTCATATATTGTCAGTTCACCACACGTCATCTTAAGGCACTTAAATGAGAGAATTCAGTCAAATAATACAGACAGATTGACTTAAGGTTTTCGATTTCACTTGTTCCTCCTGGATAAGCATGTGGCGAGAGTAGATATTTAGCTGCATTTTGTTATTGATGCAACGGTAAACCCTCACATCAAGCATGCATGCAGCAACAGTGGAGAGGAAAACTCCCTTTTAACAGGAAGAAAGAACTAGGCTCAGTGTGAGTTGCCATCTGCCAAAGCCAAGTTGGGGTTCAAAGAGAGAGACGTAGACAAAAGGAACATAGAAGCTCTGATCCATAAATAGCACAGAAATTAGGCCATGTAACAAATGCTAAGTTTAATAGCTAACATACTTCCCACCAAAGTCACATAGTGACAGCATTGGTATAGCCTTTTACGGGACAGCAAAGAAATACTGCAGAAATTTAATATAAGATCTTGTGGTGAAATCACTGTTTATAACTGAAAGTATATTTATAGAAAATTGGTTAGCAGATGATTTAGTTAGATAGACAAGATAAATAGTGAAAAAATTCACTACTTTCAAGTGCATAGGTTTTGAGCAGTGAGGACCAAAGCATTTTATGAAGCCAGATATGAAGCAGCTCAAAGATCAATACCGCTTTGGCTTTTGACCCGCTTGGGTGGACAAACATGACTATAGTTTCTCGTTTCTCGCCACACCCTCCCAACTGTCACTTCAGAGGGATTCCTTGTAAACTGGTGCCTGAAATCTAAACTCATTATCTCCCAGCAGCACCTTGGAGGCATCGTGTAACGCACCAGCACTGCCACGCATGTTAGGCTAAAGAGCCTGTCACGCAGAAGAAAAACCACAGGGTGGGAGAGACAGAGGCAGGGGGGGAAGGGAGCGATGGATCCTGCTTTCTGGTCAGGCAAAGATTGGGATGCTTGCCTGTGAATCAGAGGGGTCTTTAATTAGGACTCAGCATGACTAAACTGTGATTAAAGGCTTAACGGTGGGTGGGTGGGAGGGAAGAGAAGAGGGGGAGTAGGAGAGAACCTTTGGCAATGCTTTTGAAGTTTTTGTAGGTTACAAGTTTAGCTTTTTTTCCCATTAGTTCATTGTCTGGAACATAACAAGGATTGAAAGAGGCATATGTCTTGATGTTCTTTTCAGGTTATCAAATACAGTTTTTTTTACTTCTTTTAACAAAGCCCAAATTTTATGTAACGGTTTATCATTAGGGTTAGCAAAACAATCCCATTAAAGCTGCAATATAAGTTTTTTATTGTTTGAAATTGAAAAATCTAATTAAACAAAATGTAAAGTAAATTGGCCTTGTAATGTTCTGTAAATAATACATCTTCATTATTTGCTACATTAACTTATTAAGGGGTTTAACCATAGTGGCTGCTTGATTATATTACATAGAGACAGGGGGTATGAATACCACAAAAAAAATTATTTCATTACAGTTTTCATTAGATTAGTTTTAAAATATTTAAACCAATATTGCACTGTTACAAGCTAAATTTAATTGACTAGATGTATTCTTAGGA